CAATTTCATGTAGAATAGGTGACTTGATAATACCTTATGCAATTCTAGATACTGGTGCAAATGATTCATTATATACTGGTAACATTCCTGAGTATTTAGAAATAAAAATAGATAAAAAAAATGTTTACAAACTTATTGGTGCAGTTGAAGATTCCCAATCTATTGGTACATCATATAATGTTCCTATAACTATATATACTGAAAAAGATTCTATAACAGTTCTCAAAAATGAGGTATCTGTAATTTTTACAAAAAAAAATCAAAATAAAAAAGATATATCTATAATGATACTTGGTATAAAATGGCAACATCATATTAGATGGGATCCAATAGTAAAGGGGAATTCACAGCTACACACAATGGAAAAACTATTACAATTCCTCTTTCTACTTACAAAGAATCATATAATGCATTTAATACAGAAAAATTACAAGCATCAGAGATAAAAAAAAATCAATAATCCATGATATGTCAGATAGAACATGTCACTTATGTCACAGACCATTTCGGTATCCATATATGTTGAAGCGACATTTTCAAACTATTAAGTATAGAATTAACATTGGTGTAAGCCAGCCTTCAGTTGAGTCTACTCAAGTCAACAATAGCATAGGCCAGTCTTCGAATGAGTCTACTGTTGATTCTACTGTTGAGCCTACAATTGAATCTGTCAAAAAAATAAAAATTGATTAAAAATCAAATCTACTATGCTCCTCTATTTTTTTCAATTTGAATAATCATTTCCATCTTTTATTTCAAGTTCGTGAATTCTAGCATATATACTTCCATCTTGAATCCAGCTTTTCATTGTTTCAACACATAATTTTGCAGATTTGTGAGATAAAGCAATATTAATTTCTAGTATTTTTTGCTTTGAAGCTTCAATAAATTTTAATTGCAATGCATCAGTTTCTTCTTTTAATCGTGTATTTTTGGTATAGGAACTATGCACAAGTGCTTTATTAACAGAAGTCACAGTTATATAGTGTTCTTTATCCAAAGATAAATTAGTTAGAAATTTTGATATAGAATTGGAATTACTGCATTGACGCTGTTTTTTTTGTTAATACCTATCAATTTCATGTTTTAAAAAGAATTCAATAATCAGATTAATGTTACTTGCCTCCTCTTCAGTTAATGGATTGTGTTTTCGAACAGTGAAACATGTCCATGCTTTATTAACAATTGATGGAGGTAATTGGACAATAAGACTTGAGTAAATTTATGAAATGGCATTTCATAGAATAATTCAGTTACATATTTCCATGAAAAAATTCCAAATACAAAATTATATCATTTTTACTTATTTTATGAAAAAATTTGATGAATTCTTTGGAAATTACACAATTTTTTATAATATCACAAATAGTAAGAAACGTGAAAAAGAAAGTGAATAGTAAAGAAATCAGTAGACACTTGTAGTATAGTTCGACAATAAAAAAAGTTGAGGCGAATTTTACTAACTATTTCATGTTTCATAGCTTAGTGGTCTGAACTGTGAAAATATTATGCCATATTTCTTTTTTCATTAATGGTGACATAAATAATTTAACAATCTATATCCTCATAATGAAAATAAAGAAAATATGTCTCAAAAAGATGAGACTTATATACCGTAATTCTTTATCTTATTAATTATTGTTATTATATGCTTCATGGTATTGAGACATACATGGAATATGAAGAGAAAAAGCAATTAGTTAAAAGATATAATTATGATAAAAGAAAAGAATAAAAAGTGAACTAATTGATGCATAGGAAAAAAAAACATAAATTTTCTTTAGTGGATATATAATATAGATATAAATATAAATCAGATAAATAAGTTATATATATTGTTATAGTGAAGCTAGTGTCTCTGACACATATTAATATTGGTAATAATTCATTTTACAAATATTAATACCTATATATTATTAATTTGATGCATTTCTTTTCAAACCACCCATAATAATTAATAATGTAATTTTAATTCTGAAGGATAAAGACCATAGGGTTTATACATATATTCAATGAATTTACACTGTATTATTGTACATGCTTGAATTTTCTTACCAATTTCTCTAGCATGTTTAACTTTTCTAATAATATTTTGCATCTATAATTCATATCGATGTAATATATACATATTATCATAATTCTGTTCAGAATTAGATTTTTGCTTAATTTGCATATATTCTTCATAATTTACACCACAGTATTTATTACCAGTACATGAAAATTTCTAATGCTTTTCCATTCCTATATGGTTATAATTTTCCATATTCTTGGTTCTTTGTTCAGTATATATTAATTGATTACAAGAGAAACATATTACTATTCTAATTTCAGAAGCATATGAACTACCATCCAGAAATCATAATAATTTCCTAGCTTCAAGATATTTTTTGCTATTATAAGGTAAGAGATTATTTTCTCTAAAATATGTAAGACGTTCCCAAATCCATTTCATCTCTTTATCTGAACATTTAGAACCCTGATGAGTTACTAAACTGCTAAAATCAACTATTTTATGACTTATTTATTAATTATATGAGATTATGTGATTATATCGAATTTAAGGATTTGGGTCTATTAGATTTACTAACTTTATACTTTAGAATAATGCGATTCAATTTTAGTACAAATACTCGAAGAGCACCCTATAGGACCTGGGTTATTAGATGAGTTGTGTATATTCGACATATTTGTGAGTGGACATATATGATGAGAATGGGAGAGATTCATATGAATCTAAAGATTCGCCTATTTGGACCTGGGCTGTAGTGAGAATTGTAGACTCGAAGGGACATTGATTTGCAATAGTTTAGAGTTATTCTAAAGAATTTATTTCGATATTTATATAATCACTTGCGTATTTATTATGATCTATTTTTTGACATGTGGATAATCGTTTCATAATCTATTTCGGATGTATTATTGCAAAAGGATCATGACCCAAAGGGTCTACAAGCATATTAATTTTCCAGCATACATATTTGGTTAATTATACTAATTTATGTGGAAAAATAAATGAACGTCTATCAGATAGGTACATATTTATATTACGATTGAAAATATACCAATAATGATTTATATGGTCGCCATATGTAATACACAATGCACTTTCTATGAAAGATATGTTATACACATTCATTACTGAACATAGACTAAGGCTAAAAAAATACAAAGCCCAAATATGGATATCAAAAAAGTGCCAAACTTCGAGACCATGTCTACTCAGTCACGGTCGAGTTATATCATCATCATGTGGCACAACATTTTTATCCGGAATTCTGCGGAGCAGGGCTTAAAGGCCTAAGTTTGCCTAGTATTTTTTCTAACCTGTAATGCTACATATTTGATATTTTCTGAACTTAAATTTGAAATCGATGGTGCAGTAAATGTTGTTATTCGTTGGATATATGTCATCCTTTGAACTTTGTCTCTAACAATACAAAAAAAAAGATCATAAATTTTTGACTCTTTCTGTTTTCATATATACAAAGATCACATGAGATATAGCCAAAATATCGTGTGAAGTTTAGCCCAGGACTTATAGCAACGAAATCTTTATTTATCTTTAGTAAAATAATTTCCATACAATCAAGTAAATTAGTGAACATGTCTGTAATACATAAAACTATTTACTCTATTTTAACTACTAAACATCCCTCCGAAATTCTTAATGTAGCAAACATGAATTAGAAATAACCTTAATTAATATGAAAGATAAAATGATCTAAAACCCAAGTACCCGATAAGTAATTGACGTTGCGGAATTTTATAAACAGGAATTTGCCATTGCCATCGCGTTGTTCAGTACAGATGTTATAGTCATTTCAGGTGCCATCTTAATTTTTACAACCTATTGTTCTATATTATTGAGGATAGGGGACTTACGTTTAACTGCTTGAAAGGCCTCAAGATCGTTTCCAATTTTTTTCTTGGGTGTTATGTAACTTTGGTATCAGAAGGTATCATATATATCATCCGGCACAATAAAATATAAAAAAAATTTTGCATTCTGATTCTTCCTATATGCCAGTATATTTTGAACTATGTTAATCAGTTCACTTTGCTTTACGGGGTGTTTTGGAGACACTGTAATTTGAAAGATACAGTTTGGCGTAAGAATTAGATCTACCGCACTGAAATTTTTTATGGTTGGTTTGATAAATATGTTGTTTTTGTTACATCCTATGAGTTGGTTTGCATATCAGATATTGGTTTTATTGATATAGTAAATTCATTGTAGATGGCTTTATCATTCTAGTAATGAAAAAGGTCATTAATATTTTATCAATTATTATCAAAAATTATTATGCAATATTTTACCTTATTTTCTTTAAGTCTTTTGATTCAAAAGTTTGACCCCAAGCTTAAAAAGGTGAAGTACGTGTGATTCAAACATAATTCCCCTGGAGCTAGAAGGGTCATCAGAATCTTGAATTTTTAGAAATAGATTGTTCCATCTACTATCCTTCAGTTTTTTTTTGGATTTTGTCAAAAATACGACCAGAGGCCCATGAGTAATATTGTTCTCAGTAGAAAGTGTCAGGCCACCAGTGAATAAGGTGACTACTGAATTCAACGTATTGTGCATTGTCGGATAAGCACTGTATAAGTCTTTTAACATCACTAATTTCCTTAAAAGCTTGTTCAACACGTTCTAAAGACACTTTCTTAATCTCATCCTGATTACTGAGAATGGTTTGTTTGTCCATATTTTCCAGACGAATAATAAATGCTGGCATATCAAGAACGTATATTGGCACACCACCTGCTTCGTTACTAAGGTCAAGCATTAAATCTTGTGGCACCTCTGGGAAGACACTTAATCAGCAGGCTTCCAACTCTTTTATTGACCATGGTGGCATGCAAAATTTCTTTACAAATTTCTTGAGGAACTCTTGAAATCCTCTGTCTTTGATACTTTTTGATGATGCAGAAACAACTGTTCTTGCTAAGACATTCTTGGGAACTGTACCATCCACCAAGTACCATGTTTTAGGATTATATAGTCGCTCTGAAAATTCTTCAAAATATCCAACAAAGATATTAGAATTCTCAAAACAGTATAAAAAGTTATCATCACGAGCCTTAAAAATGACGATGGCATTGGTTCTGTTGCACAAAAACCGGATTAATAAATAAATCAAGAAACACAATTTACCGACACCTGACGTGCCAGATATGAGGAACTTGGGATGGCAATTCTCATTGGTAACTATGTGATATAGATCCTCGTAAGATTTCTGTACATATAGCACATGTTCCTGAATTACTGCAAGAGGTTTTCGGTCAAGGTACTGGATTAGATTTGAAGTTACCTCTTCCTGCTTTATTTCCTGTTCCTCTGTCATTGTTTCGATGTCATCTCGTAAACTTTCCGGGAGTGTTTTCCTAAGATTAAGGATCACATCTAATATATTTGTAAACAATAGATCTGAAAGAGTGAATTAAAGAAGCCATTAGTAGTAGATTATCCTAGTTCACATAAAATTTCAACAATCCGCTCTTTTTAATCCCTTTGATGAAAACTTACTTCCTAATTTTTGTTTCTTAGCGGGTCTACCTGGATTAATAGAAATGCAAAAGCAATAATAATAAGGAAAGGGATAATAACAAGAAAAATAATGCAGACTTGAAAGACAAGAACGAAACAATGGCTATCAAAAATCAAGCCAAGACGCGTTCATTCCATCGACTAAATTTATTACGACTCACTTACCCTCTACGATAACGCGAATGTGTTTTTTGGGCAGGTTTAATGATAAGAAGCTGGAAAGAAAAGCACAAGAATAAGTAAGTATTTGGTATTATTGGTGAATATGACACGGTTTGGATGAGAATAAGTTTGATTATCTCCTTGTATGTTTTTAATTAACTTTTCAATTCTTTTAGATGGACTGCCTGGTATTCTCCATCTTTCAAAGTCTGTCGTGGTAAAATCAAGGAATGTTGAACTATCAACTTCTTGAGCAGTTAAGGTATCTATGTGATTATCAATGCCGTTTAACCTCCCTTTCAAAAATTCATTAAGTTCTTCGGCATTAAATTCTCTCACTTCCTCAATTGTCGGAAGATCAGATGAAGGAATGACAGGAACACTGGTGGAGGAACCTGAAACGTTAAACGACATAGCCTCTGTGATTAAAAAAGTAATGAAAGGTAGTACGAATGAAAAAAATGGTATCACAGATCGATCTTACAATATTACACATGAGCACTTTATTTTATGCCTACATATTTTTCTAACATGAGATTATTTGTAATTGAGTCTGACTTTCCGATTTACGCTTTCACATTTATTTCAGTTGAATTCTCAGATTCCTTCTGGTTAAAAATTTGTATTAATTGAGTATGAATTTCTTCCCATTCTTTCATTAGATCATTGAGCCATGCAGTACTTAAACCACTTTTTAGTATATTGTGACGTAATAACTCTTCTCCGATTAGCTTATCCCAATCTGTTAAAAATTTACGATATTTTCTAGGGTCTTCTTTACTTTCTATTCCACCATGGTAGAAGCGCATATCTCTTTCCAAATCTTCTTGGAAACAGCCCATAGCCCACCTATTTCTTTCAACCTCTGTAATAATCGAAAATTCTTCAGGAACCATTTTATGTTTGATAGCATATGAATGAATTGGTGAGTTACTAATTTTATTTGGTACTCTTACTTGAATTTCTGGCAAATTCTATATGGCAATTATAACTTTCTTTTGATCGATACAGAAAGGACAATTAAGAAAATAGTGATCACTTTTACCAAGACAGCTCCAATCACCCATATACCTAAATGTATATGCACTTCTTTACATATTGGGCATAAAGCTTCTGAGTCAGTATATTTAAAAACATCTCGGTACCATGCATTTGAATTAGTATATGATAAGAAAGGGAAGCATTTAAGTATTGCTTCAATAATTACATCTTTCTCTTCCGGAAACTTGGAAATCTTGATAATAGAGTCTCATGAAAGATTATTAGTTTTTTTGATTTGTGGGGATTCATGAGTTTCAGAATTTATCCAGGGATCGAGTCCAGTCTCTTCCATATATGCTTTATATAATCTAGAACGAATTTTATCTGTCTGAGAACTTGGTAAATCAACTAAATTAGCATGCCATTTGCAATAGTCATTAGTTAATATCTTGCTGGAGGTAATATCAGAAGACATGTTATCATTTTATATTAAAGCAAGTCAATTCAAAATCACAGTTGTCAAGAAAAAAATATCACTATCCACTTGTCCAGGTTTGTGTAATTATTTACTTTTGATATACTGTATATACTCTATTGATATGGGAGAAAGTACACTTCGTGTATTAGTAGAGATAGCATGGTTTATGCCGTGACCACAATTTCATGCTTTTCACATTTAACAAAATAAGATCGAGCTTTATATTTATTTACCTCTTATACTTTTCTCATCCTTATGACTTAACTTACACGCTGGACATAATGACTTATTAATAATTCCATAATAATCAAATTTTTCACTACTAAATTCTTTATATATATCAGAATATCGATCTAATATTTTATTACGAAAATAATCACAATCATGAGTCTGTTTCTCGGGTAAGGCTTTCTCAGTAATAGATTCTGAGGCGGATGGTATACATATCTTGGTCTCTGGTAAAGATTTGAAATCCTCAGTTGAGATCACATGATTTTGATTGTTTCCCTGGGAAACGGTTTTTGAGGTTACTTGATTTATAATGTTTTGAATTTATGTATTGGTTAATTTTGCGAACACCATTTTCTCCAAATAGCTTACGAATTTTTCTGGCCCTAAGAGTCTTAATTCGCAAGGCAACTGATGTAACACCTGGTAAATGTTCTAACATCTCTTTGTATATTTGGGTTCTTGCAGTTTTATCGCTAACTCCTGTCTTATGTTGAATTTCGATAACTTTATTCTTAAAATTATCTGAATAGCGAATCCAGGATAAAATTTCTTCATGTCCAGATTGTATAGCTTTTCTAAACAAATTGATTAAGCATTGTGTTGTGATTTTGCTGGAGGGAGGCACAGAGTGGCTAGATAATGATTTTTCATGACTCAAAGAATCTGGGTTCTGCCCATTATCCATGATATCTTCGGGAGGTGTTTCTATAGGATCAGGTGTAACAATAAGCATACTATTCCGTAAATCTCGTATTAAATCTAATTCTATATTTTGATTTTTAGTAAGCTCAATTTCATCAGAATCGTCAAGATCCTCCGTTAATAAAGAAGTATTCGTGATTGTTTTTTGCTGATCATTTCCCTGGGAAATGGTTTTTATATCACATAATGAATTATTATTGCCTTGCAATAAGGCTACACCTCTATCCGAAGATAAGTTTTGATCTCAAAGTTTTTTCTTTCTAACTCTTTCCATTATCTCTTGACTAACCTGTTCCTTATATCGCAAATTTAGAAATTCATTTTCTTCCTTCTCTTCTAATGATATGGTTTCTGCAGGAATAGGAGATGCAGACTTTGTCTCTTCCAGACATACATCAGAATTTAAAGCATTATCAGATATATCAGATGTCAAGACATTATTGGGTTCATCAGAATTTGAAACATTATTGGATACATCAGTTGCCGGAGCATTCTTATTTTGCAAGACCGTCTGTTCAGAGGTATCATCAGAATTTGAAGTGTCTTCAGTTACATCAGGAGTATTGTTGGAATTTTTCATTCCAGAAGAAATGATATTAACCGGAGATTGTGAAGCATTAGTAATACTTTTTTCTTCTTGCTCTAGTTTCGTGATTCTGGCTTCATGGCTTTCTAAAGATTGTCTTAATTCTGCATTCTCACGCCTAACTTTAGCATTCTCATTTCTAAGTTCTGTATTCTCTGCCTGAAGCTTGAAATTCAATTCCTTCAATGAATTGATTTTGGATTGTATGTTTGCCATTTTTTATATAAAATACGGATAATATTCAATTAAACATAATCGTGCGCGTGAAGATTCTTCACGCCAATGCCAAGAATAATTCTCGATCATATATACACATCATCATTATCAATATGTATTGTACATCAGAAAAAATTTTATTAATATATGTAAAAATAAATACATGTGAAGTGGAAAACTATCCATTATTTTTTCTTGTACACGTCTCTTCTTAGATTCTGGTTCATCATATGCGATTACTCTATCTTTACAGATTTTCCTGATTTCCCTTAAGCACTTTTTTCATAAGATTTATTTGATATTCACTATTACTAGTACAAAAAATTCCTTCGAAAGTGAACATAATAAAATGCCAATCCGCACCTTAAAATAAATCTGATAATTAGCAATGCCAGAACGAAGATCATGACTAAGAGTTGTCCTTTTGAATCTGCTCCATAATAGAAATTTTTCACATACCAGTTGACATGATCCCATATAGATAGTCGTAATCCTCAGTCTTAAATGCTTCATCTGCAGTTCGCTTCTTCTTGTTCATATGGAAGGAACTCTCGAGTTGTTTTATATTTTGAAGGTAACCAATCTTAACGTTTCGTGGTTTTCCCTCAGTGATATATAAAATATCCTCCATCCTAGTTATAGCGTAATTAACTCTTCCGGATTCTTCTTCACTTGAAATATCCCTCTGCAATTCTATATGGACTTCTTTGTTGGTCATTCTTCTTGCAATTGATATTGATGCGTGTAATACAGATGAAATAAATTCGCAACGCGTTGCTTCGTTAGCCTCTATCATTGATTTTACATTCGTTAACTATAGTATTATTTCGTTCATACATTGTTCGAGGGTTTTGTCGTCGTCATCGATTTCCTTGAAAACTATTTAATAAGAAAATGAATTATTGTATATCTGGAAATTTGATCATCTTTCTCTATAGAGAAAACGGTTTTTACCAAGAAAAAAATACCACATACCCGGGTTGAATTGTTTGATGCTCGTTATATCCTCACCATTGACCTTATATTTGCGGAGTATGTCCTTTAGTTCTTCTAGAGTTTTATATGACAAAAAACTTCATAGTTTTTGTTCTTAAAGTTCATCGATGAATTTTGCAAGTTTTATAGCAGGTCCTATTTTTAAACCATATTTATGGAAATCTTCTTTAGTCATCTTGAGAAATGAAAGTTCATCGATCTCCTTCTGTCGTAAGACCTTGAAATAAGATTTCTTAAGTTTTAGATCTCGCCTCTGTAAATAATCAATAAGCTCTTCCGTGTCCAGATCTTTTACCATGTCTGCCATCGTGCGAGTTGACCTTTTTTCCATCAAAGTAGAGGATGTAGAAATAGGTAAGGAATGTGAAGAAGCATATGAAGACATATTACTTTTATATGTAAGAAATTGCAAAATCTGATTTATGTCGGCTTATGTATCTGACTAAGTGAAATTAGATAATGCAAGGGAAAAGAATGAAAAAATTTTTCGTTTATTTTAAGTAGATCAGTGGCTTTTCATAGTATTTGATTACGCAACTCATATAGAATGGCAAGTACACAATGATCTCGGAGATTGCAGAGATTTCGACTTCCCAAGATATAAGTCCTTTGATATACACACTAATAGAGATTGTCGGTCCACTCCTCCTTACTGCCTTTTCAAGTCTCATTTTGCTGATTCCTATCATGAGGCATATTTAATATAGAAATATTTTTTAACCTAAATACGTATAACGTAAAAAAGATTTACATGTTTCACAAACTTCTATGCTGATCCCAATTTGTCGATTTAATACGTAATACAATACTCTCCATATCTTATATGAACCTCCCTTCTATAGTCATTATGTAACTACCTTCAGCAAGAAAACTGGAATTAGATTTAAAAGTCCATAAGGGGAATGGGTTTATTATTTCTCATTAGTATTTTTACCAGAAATCGTATGTTATAAAAATTCTGAATTCCCAGATTGCCAGATCATTGAAATTAAGGGATATTTTACCGGAGGGGTCACAAGTAAAACCTGACTCATATTAAGTGGTTAACCGAAAAAATGACGAAAATATATTTGATTTTGGGATAGATTTAATGGTTCTGGACGATATAAAATACTTTGTTTTTTCTCTCTTGTAAGATGGGTACCAATATCGTTTTTTATCACTAATTCGAAGTAATATATCACTATTTATTATATTGCTATTAATTAAGATTATAAAACACATTTGTATTTATCATTATTTGTTTTTAGGAACAAAAAAATAAGTAACACTAATGAAATATCTACTACCAAAGCTTAACGAACCCAATATTTTCAAGACCAGCAAAAGTAGTGTTTCCGTGACTAGTGAAAGAAATGTTATTAAGATCAATCATCCTGTTGACCCAAAATTATCTAAATTAGAAACTGTGGAAACTATTCAAACTTGTGAGTAAACTTCATACAGTATAATTATATTTGCTTTATATGTTCAAGGCTTTGGTCAGAGTAATATTTGTTGAGATTGAGTCCTTTGTGTTTACTTTATTAAAAATAGGCAAGGAAGAAGTAAGACAAGGTAATGCACGAGCATCTTGTACCGAAATTGTGAGAACAGTATCTAATGCCAATTCGTTGGTAGATAGTAATAGTTTATTAAAATTATTAGATAAAAAATAAGTATGAAGAGCATAATCCAGAATTTTTATTATGCTTTTATTATTGTTGTTTCTGCTAATTGTTTTTTAAATTCTCTAAATTCTGAATTATATGTTATTTGTTTTCTCATGTATAAATTATTCTTAATACGAAATATGAAGTTTTCCCATTGGTCTTTGTTTTTAATATCATAATAAATAGTGTCTCAAATATTTTTCTGGATAAAGTTTTGATAGCTTTAACCAGTCTTCTAATGTTTCTACCTGATTAATAAAATTTAGACAACATTCCATTAACATATCTCATGCTGTCATTTTTATTATTATACAAAAATATATCTATATCTCGATAAATAATTACAGATTGAGTTTTTATTCACTTTATATATTTATTCAATTATTACTTAACATGTCGAGCTTTAGTGATATCAAAATTAATAAAAAAATCAATGAATATAAAGAAAAGCTAGTTGAAAAAGAAATGTATGGCAATAATTTTGAGATTTTATCTCTTGGCAGATTTATTGCTAAACGAATTTTACTTTATAAGCAGGATATAAGTTATATTTGTAATAGTAAAATAGAACATGTACCACATGAAGAGTTTTTTAAGCTAATTAAGATAATAGAATTATTTTATATTATGTATAAAAAAAATTTCAAAACATATGGTCTATTCTATACATGTTGCTGAAATTCGTAGATCCTTGATGCAATTGACGCAATTATTTGATGCAATTAATTGAGTCACTATTAAAACATATAAATAATTGAGTCATGATGCAATTATTTTTAAGGATTTTGGGAATTGAGTCAACAGCAAAATAATTTACACCACATGTATAGTCTATTCGATATTGATATCGATTAGTAATAAGGCCTTTGTTATATTGCATATTTCCTACTTAATCTCTAATACTTTGTCTGTAAGATCATCTATTTCTTTTTCCAATAAACAGAATTTTTTCTCAAGTTTATCAAGCTTTTCATATATCTTTTTAGTATTGGGATAATGCGATTTTTTTACTTTAATTGATGTCATTTTTTGTAATATATATTATTATTTAGATAAAAAAAATTATAAAGAAATATAAGGAAAGAAGTATCTCAACTTAGGCAAGTAAGTTGATCTACTATTGATATTGGGGTTTTAACTCTAGGTTCATCATTCTTTTTTTCAGCTTCTTCATGGAACATTCCTTTATCAATCATTTTCTTATACGCAATAATACGCCAATCCCCAAAGGCTAATATAGTAATTCCATCTGATAAAATCCATTTTCTAGTATCCAAAGGACTAATACCAATTTTAAATGAATGAAGAAGTCTAATAATATGATCTTTACTTTTTAATCTATGCATTGTTATCATAATTTCTTTTCGAGATTTTAAACAATTTTCATATATATCATAAGTAAGATTCTTTTTACTACTATCTTTTGTACTCCCTTAGCTCTTCGAACTGTTTTTCCATCAGCAAGAATATAACTGTAGAGCTTGAATCTTAATCCACAAAATTTCCACATAGCAGTATCATTATTTTCGTCCTTGAACTTATCAGGGACTTTCTTATTCAACGCAATTTTTTCTTTTCCAAAAGCTTGATATACAGAATAATCTAGTTTATAATTACTAAAATCGAAATGTTCATGCATCTCTACCATATCATTATATATATTTTCAGTTTGGATAAGTAGAATGAGTAAATCAGTATCAGTATATACTAACTCTACATTATCTCTATATCGTTCTTTTATAATATTATAATAGAAGTTATACATTGTAATTTTGTTTTTATCGAGAATAGCCATTCCAATAAAGATAGGTTTACTAAGTCTAGCCTTTGTTTAATGACGAGAAATACCTATCAAATTCTCTGCCAAAATTCTATGAAACTTGTAACTAGGATATGCTACTAACCTTTTAAATTTTTTTGATTCTCTTTCTGGTTTAACGAAGTCTACTCTTTGATATTTATGTACATTTTCTATAGTTTTTCCATAGTTAGCATTACCTAGAAGCTTATACATATTTTTCTCAAAATCATTCGTAGCTAAAGCTCGAGATCTTGCTAGTTTTTCTATAAAAGATTTCATCCATGGATTTTGATCAAATTCTATGGCTCGATAAATTTTGGTAAGCACTATTCCCTATTTTATATAAAATTGTAATATGTGATAATGTACTATATACTTTTTCTTATTATTGAGATTGGAGACAAGTTTCTTAGTCTTTGAATAATGTTTTAAATCATTAATAATCTCTTGTTCATACTCACTCATTTCCTCTTTAGAAATCTCGATATTTTCGGAAGCTAAAGAATATGCAGAATGTAATTTATGTAATTTATATAGGTAGTCAAGATCAACTTCTAGAATATAACCTTTGGGTGCATCATCAGGAATCTCATACTTAATAATTTTATTAAAAAGGTCTGGAGTTTCTTTGGATATTATCCATCTATGCGCTCCTGTTGACATATATTGTATCATTGTTCCAGTATATAGGGCATTAGCATCAATATATAATAACCAGGTAAAGAGTTTTTCCATGGCTTTTTCTGAATCTGGATTAAAATCGAGACATTGAGGATTGTTAACTTTAACTTGACGATTACTTACCATTGTAATATCTCCTCAGATACCTTTTTCACAAAAGAGGTACATGTTATCATCAGTGAATAATTCGATTTCTTGTCCTGTGGTTTTATATAGAGCGTCTTCTGCAAATAAAGGGAGAGATACATAATGAGATATATCTAGACTTAATTTACCTTTCATTAATTTACGGAATCCTTCCAAACAATCTGCTAATAATAATACATCAAGTTTCAGATATAAGTCATGATATTCTCGGAATGATTTCATATTAAATGCTTTCCATACTTCTTGTGCTCTTTTATACACTTTTTCTGTGCATTTATATTTGTTAAGAATACTGTCGAAAGCCTCAATAGGAGATAAGGAAGTCGCATCCATTTTTTCTGGTGCATTAAATCAATCATAGGGGAAAATTTCTTTATGAAATACTAAGTCATCCCTCCCTTTTGGTCCATATTCTCTAGTTATGGGAATCTATCTGGATGGGCAAAGCATCTATTAAAGTCGATTTGATAAAGATAACTGGGCTTTTTACATGATAAGTTTAGAGATTTTCCATTCTTATCTACATCTTCTTTATATGGTTCAGCTCCTAAGTTAGATATGTGAGAGTCAAAACATCCTGACATGAGTTGGAGAGAATCCATATATCTTTGATTTTTAATATCGAGACTAAGATAGTTTTCTATATTATGCGAGATAGTACTTATCCTTTCTTTGCTTACGCATCCCATAGCTTGGAAAATAATATGAGCCTCAAACTTACCTAAATTATAAAAACGAATTGGTAATTTAAACTGTTCTGATTTGATTCATAGTTGAAGGTTACAAATATTATGGGTCGGACCTCTATACTTACCTGTAATATGATCATAGTCTCGAACTTTTTTAAGATTATCTTCTTTTTCAAATGGCTTTTCACATATGTAACATTTTTTAGCTAAATTATGAGTTTTTTCTTCTTGAATAGTTAATTTTTTCATTGGTTCTCCTGGCCATCGATTGGAGCCTACAATAAATTGTATTTGCAAGTCGATACATTATTCATATGTCTACTCCAAGGAGATCTTTTCTATGAGCTTGGTAAAGACCTTTTAAGTAATGTTTAAGATATATTAACTTCTCATACTCTTTAATAGAATTGAAAGGAATATTGGTTAATTTCCATGTTTGAAATATGCTAACGTAATTAATATAATTTTCTATTATTTTTTCTGACAATATTCCTGATTGCATCATTGAGATTAATTTCGTTGCAGAATTTCAAATAACGTGACCTCATGCAAGAAAATTCTGGCATTGCTCTGTTTCTTTTTCCATTGCTTTGATAAACTCTCCAGCTGGATTATCTCCCTAATTATTACTAATATTTTGGTCTTGCCATCACTACATCTAATTATATAATCAAATGATATAACTTTGTGTTTTTGAATTGCTGTTGTTTTTGATCTTTGGTTCTTTTCAATTTGGGTGGCAAGAGTCTCTGTATCAGCTGTACAGACAAAAAGAGTATCTAACATTCATTCATATCATTTAAATTTGTATATATTCTTACCTTTCTCTGGCATTACAGTTATTTGTGCTGGAGTATTAATTCCTTTACAATCTTCCATATGTAGTGCATCAATCTTGAGATTATGGGTTTGATAACTTATACAATAGTCACAAACATATAACTTACCATTGTGCTTAATTGTATATTCAACTAATTTTTATAATCTATTTCTTTCTTGGATCAAGCAATAATGTTGGGCTAGTTCACCTGTTTTTGGATCATCTTCTGTTATTAATAAAAGTTGAATTAATTTTCGTGATCGACAACCTTCCTCTTCATGATTGCATCTATCATGTATTTTGGATTTAAGTGAAATTTAGATTGGGATAAGTTCTTTTTCACTCCATCTATAAATTGATACAGTTATAACCGGATTCTGTTTCTCGAACTTTTCCATTGTATTGTTGTCAGCTTTTACTGGAAATTGAATCCCATTAAAATTTAACTTACCTAAATGTTCTCTATATTGTGAGGGTCTATAATGATGATCTTTTACTGGGTGTAACTCTGAAAGATACACCATTCAAAACATCTATCATCCTCATTTTGGATATTGATAATTTCATTGTTTTGTTTTGATATTCCTTTGGGTAAAGAAATGTGTGAACTGGTTGATAGAGGGACATAAATTGGCATTTCAATATTTACTTCTTCTGATTCTTCATAATACCAACCTGAGCCTTCACGAATATGTATTTTTATTCGATTTTCAATATTCCAAATAAGCTCATCTACAATTCCTGGAATATTTTTTTTAGCAATTACTACTACTGCTTTATTTTTGAATGGAACTTCTTTATAATCTTTTTTATTATTATTATTTTCTGCAAATGTTTTATCTTCAAACAGTCCCTGCTGATAATTTGTTGATCGATTTATTTTTCCTATAAGACATAATCAAGTTTTGAAGCCATGATTAAGGTCAAATCGGTCATTGAAAATATTTATTATTTGCTCTCTAAGTACTCCAAGAGTATTAATTGGATCTTGTGCATATATACTTTCTTTTTCTATTTCAACTTGATAATGATCATCTAATAATTCACATCCTGAACTAATAATATCCGTTTGATGAAATTGTGGAATAGGTTTTAATATTCCTAATGTTTCGAGATATTCTCTTTCAGCTTCTGGTGATAAAATAGGCTTAACAATTTCTGGGGATTAAATAATTCTAATGTATCGAGATATTCTATTTCTGGATTAGGTGGTGGAATTAATGGTATAGATGATATTTTAAGTTGACATGGATTTTTTCGATTAAGATGAATACGTAACTTAGCTAATTTTTTATATTCTTTACTGCATCTATTGCATGTATGTACTACCATATTATATATAATACTTATAAAATATTTTTTATTCAAATTAATTATTTACCTTATATATCAAAAATTTTTTAATACTCTTAATTTGGTATTTTTACCAATATATCGTAAATTTTTTGGTACTGTGATAGAATAGATAACTTAGTTTTATTTTTACTTATTTTTATCAAATTATTATTAGTTTATTTTTAGCAGTAGGA